TGTCTGCTGATGGGTTTATTTAGGTTCTTGCCTCCTCTTCCCCTTTTAGACAGTCTCACAGTGTAGTTCAGGCTGGCCTTGAGCTTGAGGCAATCCTCCTGCCTCAGCCTCCTGAAAGCTAGAACTACAGGCCTGCACTATCATGCCTTGCCTTTGTTTAGGCTCTTGGAAAATCCTCTTGGGATAGAATCTTGTGCTGACAACCTTTTTTTTTTTTTTTTCTTTTTTTGTATTATACCACCACCTTCTGGCTACTGCTATGGCTAATAAATTAATTACATTCTTCATGGCCGTTCCTCTATAGTATTCTTTATTTTCTGGGATTCCTTCTCAAGGTAAATGTTAGTCTTTGATGTTAGGTGCTTTGATTTTGGTATGTCTGTGATGGGTTTTCTCTGTTATCCTGTTGGGTTTAGCTAGGATTCCTAAGTGAGAGGACTGGTTTCTTTTATTCATTCTGGAGCATTCTGAGGGTATGCCTCAGTCCCCTCTCCATGCTGATGTCTCCTGTGGTATGTTCTTCCCTATCAGGCTTTTTCCAGCATTTCCCACACATTCCTGTGTAGACAAGTCACACTGTCCAGGTCTGTGAACATGAAAATTTGCTCTGCAGGGGCAGCTGAAGGTCTAATGCATCAAACCATACACCTGACTGGCTTGAGGGAAACACCATGCTTTCTTTTGATCCCAGAAGGGAGGGACAGGGAAAGATGCCTGGGCTATTCGGCCTCAGGTATAGCAAGTGGAGCAAGAGGAAGCCTCTCCAGTTGCCCAACTTCAGGAGGAGAGGCCAGAGGCCTAGAGCCCAGGGGCATGGCCATCAGCTGGTTGGCCAAGGACTGAGGTTGGCCAAGGACTTCTTCTTTCACTGTCAACAAGAAGGTTGCTCTCATGTACTTCCCCATAGAGTCATGGAAGGACACACTGAGCCAGCAAGAGGCAAGCCATCCATGGCGACCTGCCCAAAACCCTGCAGTACCTGGAAAGCTGCTCTCTATAGTGACAGGCCTGTGGAGCACACTATAGGTACAGGGTCTGGGTGTGTACCTCCCAGGCTTCCTTTTGCTATGACACATCCCACCTTAGCTTCCCCATTATGCCCCAACAGAGACTAACCTTCCTAGCATGTCCTGGTGCCCTTCTAAGTCAATTGTACTCAATGTTCTCTGTGGCATGCAGGTTGTGTTTTCCCACTCACTGCCCTTCAGCCCTGCTCAGGGACTTTAAAACCTTCCACTTCCTCAGGTGTGAACTGACAGTCCTGAGGCACACTTCATAGGCTATGCAGGCTCAGGTGAGACAGCATTGTGTATAGGAGAGAAAGAGAGAGCGCACAGATATTAATGTCTCTGTGGAAGCTTAAGTGCCATTCTTTCTGTTTTTGTTTGCTTTCAGCACCCTCTTTAAATTGTGGGATGCTAAGTCGCACAGAGATTTGGGAACTGTGAAGGTTAGATAGAAGACTCGAGCATATGAGGATATTTTTGAAGCTCATTACAGTCTCTTGGTTAGGGTGATTTGACCTTATCATGGCCTGAAACAGTATGCATTCAGTAGAGACTGCACTTTGAGCTTGGAACTTTCGCTAGGGTAGTGGTACATGGCCATTACGCTCTGCTACTGGGGAGCAGCAGTGTGCTACAGCTCCTAATCAGCCCCCAATGAACGGAAAGCCAACATCTGACATTGTGCTGTCTTGTTAAGTTAGGAGCTGCTGAATGTTTTTAGCTTATGACAGATTTTTCAGGGTGTGAACCCACTGTAAGCTGAGGGTGTATGTAATTTCCTCTAGGGGAAAGGTTTTCCTTCCTGTGTAACTGTGCTACTGTCTGGAGAGAGCAACGACACAGGGTGCAGGTGCACAGGCTCTGTCCAGGTGCTGTGCCCCTCTCACCTGCTCCTGGGTCTTAGAACTTGGTGCTTTTTCCCCTCTTGCTTGTGAAGTGCACCTCACCTGACCATGGCAAGATGCCAAGGCACATGCACTTTCCAAGGCTGCTCATGGCTATCCAGGAAGCATGACTGTACTTCCTAGGGCACTGTCCCTGGCCTTCCCACCATTCACATTTCTTCATAGCACCTGAGTCCTGCGAGCTCCAGGAGTATCCAGAGGACCTAGCTGTAGCAGCACAGGTAAGCAGCAAGGATGAGTCTCAGCAGGCCAACTTGAAGACACTGCTTAAAACTGAATGTAGGAAATGTGCACATTCTAGTTACTCAGATCTAAAGAATACATCTCTGATGGGCCTGCACAGAAATTAAGCTGTTAAATTATAGTAGCTAGACATTTCAGTTGAAGTAACATTGTAAGCAACTACATTATAACATAAAACAATTTTATTAATTCCTATATGTATGTGAATTCTAAGCAACTGAAGCTTTTAAATTTCTACTAAATACTAAGCTCAGACAAAGACTGTGTCTGACTTATTAGCTGTGTCATTAAACAATTATTCTATTCTTGTTTTATGTGGATTATTCTAGGGATTGCCAAGGTCCTCAGTTCTATGTGTCTGAAAGGAAGACACTTTCGGAGGTCCCACTCTGCTCACAAGTCACACACTACTGCTATAGGACAGAGTCACTTCCACAGGAAGCCACTTCATGATAGTCACCGAGGTCCCATTCCCACTCCTGCTGCTCTGACAGATCCACACACGGCAGAAGCTCCCAGTTTTAGGTCAAGAGGCTGGTAGGTTATGTGTTTGGCCAGGGCCTAGAATGCTGTGCTTACATGGAGGAAGGAACACAGACAGGAGAGCCCCAAAGCCTCGATTGTAGATACACTAGTTCCACTCAGGAGAGCAGCCCTCATGACCTAGTTACCTGCATACCCCTTCATCACTTGGTTTCAGTGTAGGAGTCACATAGGGACAGACATCCCAACCACGGCCCAGCCCCAAGTATCTCAGATTTTTTTTTTTTTGGTGGAACCGGGGATTGAACTCAGGCCCTTGTGCTTGCCAGGGAAATGCTTATTCTACTGAGCCATCTCCCTAGCCCTCAGTATCTCAGATCTTACAACACATAGTGATGATGATTTAAAAGTTAGCTATGTTACTAATCTGAAACAAAGAACCTAAAAACTACCCATTACAGAAACACTGAGAAAAGTCACATGGAAAGGATGAAAACAGCCAATAGACACAAACACCAACCAAGGAACCAACCCAAACCTCTCATTCTCATGGGGCCTGCACCCCAGCCTCTGCGACTCAGGGCAGAAATACTGTTCCAGAACAAGCATATACACCTCCAGAGGATGAGTGAATGCCTCAGGCTCTGTCACAGGAAGCCCACTGGTTTGCTGAATGGTTCCTGCAGGCCTGCAGGTCCCATTTTGAAGCCACTGTTTTTGAAGGAGACAGGCTTCATCTTCATCTATCAGCACCCCTTCAGCAGAGACAGACTGCTGTTCATGCATGTTAGGACATCACTGTGTTCAAATAGTCAGGCTTTGGAACCTGTCCATGTCTAGGACAGCCCTGCCCAGCATGCTATGAAGATTAACCATCCTGTAAGCCAGGCTCTGACCCCACCTGTCACCATGGCCATCCTCAGTGCCCCAGCCTTCCTGGCACAAGCAGTACCAGCTCCTAGCATCTGAATGAACCATGAAAAACCATGGAGAACCATGGCAGGTGCCCACAGCTCATCTCCCACATGACCCAGGCTGATGTGTCTATGGTCAACCACCTGAGAATGAGACACTGTGGGTTCAGAGATACTGTAGAACTGTCCAAGGACTGAAACCAGAAGCCATTAATTATGGCCTCTGGTGTGACTGTGGGTGGAAGGAACTTTCCTTAACTGTGTTTCTCTATTATTTGATTTGTGTGTTATTGCCATTTTAAAGGGGAAAATGTTATTTGTTTTCTATGCAAAAGAAAAATTTCCTGCAATAGTAGTGAACTGTGTCTCTATTTCAAATATTTATTTAGTGTTAGTTAAGTCCTGATCACACTTCATCCAGGTGAGTGTTTCTTTTCTGCCTGCCTCAAAAACAAATGGTCAGTGTGGCCTGAAAACTGGCAGGCATGGCGGGACCTCCTTGGGCCCTAGTGCTCAGTATCAGGACACAGAATAGAAGCAATGCAGGGCCCTTCAGAGGAGCTGCCAAACATGGCAAACATTCACAGTGGCTTACAAAGGAAAGCATCTCAGGACCAACTGGCAGCATGCATTAGCTTCCCTACCTGGTTGACTTGCTTTCTCCCTAACCCCTTTCCTTGGCACAGCCATTCACCACCTTGTCTCTAATGACCTCTCGAGTGCCCTCTTGCTCAAGGCTGACACCCCTCACCCCTTTGAGCCCTAGTACCTCCTACTACACCCAGGAGCACAAGGAGCAGCTACATGAGGTTCAAGAGGCAGGTGAGGATTAACCTCCTGATGGGTCCTTTAGGATGAGGTCATCTCCTGCAACATGAATCCTACACTCAGACCAGACCCTGGCCATATGCAGCATGACAGGCCCAGATTCAATGGCCCAGGAAGAAACCCAGAACGCCTGTGTGCCCATGCAGCATCTCACTAGCTCTGAAAGGAGAGTGGACCTGTATGGTAGTCAGCACTTTCATCTCTGCACAGGAGCACTTAGTGCTTCAACATGAGCTCTGAGGGGGAGTTCTGCTTCCCAGGCACTGAGATGCTCTCCTCAAGCAGCATTAGAAGGCTTAACTTCTCAAGGACACAGGTGGCTTCAGCAGGGCAGGGACAAGCACCATCTGCCAAGAACTTGAGGCCTATTGATGGGAGGGAGGCCCTGAACTGCAACAGACCCTCCAAACAATTTGACATCAGGCCAAGTCCTCAACACAAGCAGAATTAGTGCTAAGAGGTTAAGAGGTTATCAAGGTCATATGGATACAACACATCAGGAACACTGAGAAAATGGATTAATATTATTGTGTAATATTAATATTAGTAGAATTAAACAGCAGCATGCAGGTGTACACAATAATAAGAGAGGGTGGAAAGGAGACAAAGTGAAAACTCACATCCGGGTGGGGGATGGCATACTGTCCCTGGATCGTGTAGGCCTGGGGAGAGAGAGAGAGAGAGAGACCTTCAGCTCATGATATGGTGGAATGTCATCTTGTCACCTACTGGCAATCCTCTCCTGCATGACAAGGACCCTCTGGTACCAACTCTCTCTCTTTCTCTTACATATGCATGTCCACTTGCCCCACTTGCTTGGGAAAAAGGGTGAATCTCTTAGGGCTGGTGCCCAAGAGACCCCTGGGTGAGTGTGCCCCAGGAGTAATCACCCTGACTCTGAGCTGTGGCAGGCTGTGTGCCAGGCCAGTGGGAGGGACGGGACTGGTCAGGTCTGGATGCTCCTGATCCTTATTTTCTCAGCTTTCTTAAAAGACAAAAAAAATGGTCTGTTTGGACCCTAGAAAGAGGTCCACTGATTATTTATCAGTCACCAAAGTAAAGTCTTTACTCCAAGAGAACCAAACAAAAAAAGAAAGCTTTAATAGGTAACCCAAGCCAGTTTTGCAAAAGCAAGACTCAGTAAAATCATGGCTCTAAGTTAGTCACAGGTTTGACCCAATTTGCTCCTTTCTTATAAATCTTCATTGCATCCACTGAAGGTGGGTGAGGTACCTCTTTTGGAGGATCAGTTGGGGTTCTCTTTATTCCTTAGGTTTAATTATTTCCCATTTCAAATCTGTACTTGGGCTGGCTGGACTGTCTACCCTGTGGGCTTTCTAACCCCTTGCTCACTTAGAAGCTCCAGTGGACAGCACAGCCCTACAGGTACCTTCTGCTAAGGTGCCTTCCAGGGATGCAAGAGCTCCCACTGGACAACATACAACCACATAGAGTCAAGGGAGAGCTGTCAGGGCTGAGCATGGGTGCCACAGGCCTGGTGGGGGGCTGTGTGAATCCTATGCCTTTCCAATCTAAAGGCTCCAATATGAAACTCACTCATTCCATAGTCAGGCTCCCTGGCCACCTTACAGGGACATTTCAGGAGGCAAGGTGTCCCTTCAGTCCTACCCATCTGCTGAGTTTTTATCATAAGCAGGCTTACCCCAGGGCTAACCCAGCATATGGCCGGAACCCAGCTGCAGCCCAGCCTGGGGGAGGAGAACCTGAGAGGCCCCACTCTGGGCTTGCCCCAGGGCATTAGGAGAGGAAGTAAATGAATCTTATCAGATACAGTGAAGCCTTTGATAAAAGAGCCCCACTCTCTGCAGAAACAGAGTCGGGAGACCCAGCCTCAGCTTTGTGAAGTTGCTGCCAGGGGTGTATATCCGTGTCACATGATGTCTATATGGGCCTTGCTATTGGCATGCTTGGGGCCTGTTGGCCCCTCAGCCCTGCAGCTCTGAGTTCAGCTCTGGTAATGGCTTAACCTGGACTGTCAACTATCCTGACAGCTCTCTCTTGCTGCCTTACATTTGTATCTTCTTCCTGTGCCCTCCTTGGCAGCTCTGACTTCTTCAGGAGCAATGCCTGGCTGGTCTCTTCTGAAGTCTGTGGTCTCCTTGCACCCTACCTCTGGGGAGCTGTGTGTCTGATCCTGGCAAGGCTGGGCCATGACTATACCTTCATTCTAAGTTTGCCTTTGGCTCTCTCATGAGACTCTGGTCCACGGCATAGTCAAGACCATCACCAGCCAGACTATCCCATGATGGTTGCCTAAAAAGGTAAACACTTCAATGATAGCCTCAGGGACAAATACCCCTGGCACAGTGACTTATTACTGACTAGAATGCAGGGGTAGGTGGAGGTGTGGGGATCACTGGCTGGAGTCTCCTGTGCAGTTGGGGCTGGGACCCAGCCTTGCAGTGTGATAGACTCATTTGCTGTATAGTGTCACCTTCCCTTTGCCTGAACGCCATGCTTTGCCTCATGATGTCACCATGGGTTTGTTTAAACCCTGAGATGGTATCTGCAGTTCCTGACCTGCCAATAGCATGAGCTTGAGGAAGCAAGGAGAGGAGCTGGCCCAGTACTTGCAGCCATGTGACCTGTGCTCTCTAAGGTTAGGGCAGGCCTATGAGGCTGAAAAGCCTCATGCCTGGCTGAGCCTGGCTTTCCACTCTGTAAATAGCTGTTCTGTATGGACAGCTCTGTGAGCTTAGTGCACAGGGGCTCCCATCAGTAGAGAGGCAATCAGCGTGGCCACCAGGAACATCTTGTCCCTTGCCATAAAGATGAGCCTGGGCATTGGTAGGGTGGGAGAAAAAGCTCCCTTCCCTCTGTCTAAGGAGGATTCAGTTATAAGATCTGATAAGATTCCTTTACACAGAGAGTAAAAACGTAAGAAGAAGCTTTCTTTGCCTTTTTCTTTCTTTTTAATGATAATGTAGAACCTTACACCCACTCCTCCCTTGTTAAGTCACCAGTGAGTGTTTCCATCTCAACTCTCCCTTGGACGAAGACACACACTGCACCAGCTGGACACAGAGCTTTGCTGGGCCAACCCTGGCTGGTATTTGGTTGTCCATGTGGATAGGCTGCAGAGACTCGGAACAGCCCCATCACAATATGCCAGACCTAAGCTTCCCTTCTCATGTCTGTACTCTGGTTGTGGTATGTTGTGGGCCTCAAAATGGAATGTGCATTTAGGAGAAAGCAGGATACCACTTCTCACAAGTCTCATGGCTTCCAACTTGAGGCCTAAAGTCATATAGGATGCTCCTGGCTTTCTTGGAGCTACTCTGGAATATCCTGGTGCTAGCTTTATGTGGTGCTGCCCAGGGGACAGAACTCAGACAGACATTTAAGGGACCTGTGGCTCTCTGTCTCCCACCACCCCACTGCCTGGGTTGGCTGGGAGCTCTGTGTCCAGCGGTCGTGGGAGACGTGCACGTGAGAAGGCGAGAAAACCTGAGTGCACTAACGGGCAGCGGCGGGTGCTGCAGTAAAAGGCTGAGGTTGGCAGTGGAGGCCGCGAGTGGGTCGGCTCTTACCTGACCACCTGCAAAAATGACAGGGGTGGAGGCGGGCTTTGGGCGGTAGGGAATGGTGGCACCTTTCGGTGGGGACTAGGAAAAGGGACAGGAGAGGGAGAGAGAATGTTAGAGCAGCCTTGCTGCTGGCCACAGGCTGCCTTCCCGAGCCCATCCCTTTGCAAAGCCCCCCCACCCCAGAGGTGGCCCTGGTGGGGGCTGCATGGGCCACAACAGTGTGGGGAAGGCCCTTGTGCCCACACACAATTAGCACCGTGTAACCTACATTCTCACACTCACAGGACGCTGTGGCTCTGTGGCAGTGTGGAGTGTCTATCCAGAGAAGCCAACCAGTGGGGGCTACCAGAGAGGCCAACCAGGGGACAATGGCTGCTGAGGATGGCTCTGCAGTGCTCATTCTCACTGGCTGGTCTCTTCCTCCCAATGCAGCCCCTTGGGAACTGTGAGGCACATGGCACCTACAAGGCTGTGCAAGTCTGTCAGCCCAGCATCTTCTGACAGAAACACTCATGATGTCCTGGAAAAAGCTCAGCCTTGCACACAGCCTGCTGTGGAAACAGAAGTCTAATAGCTCCTGTGGGCCCACAATGACTGTCAGTAGAGATTGCAACAGGCAAGTTAGAAGTAGTGATTTCACATTTTAAAAAGCTTGGAGATGCCAAGTGAGGTATTAAGTCATGATAAGGTTTGCTATAATTTTCCTTGGTTATTCTGTGTCCAAGTTGAGGAATTCTTATTCTAGGTGAATTTCATTCTTGGGTGCCAGCATTCTCCCTGAGCTCCTCTCTATGGTTAGAGGTGAGCAACCCTTCCGTTGTTCTGTGTGGTCCTGTCTTGTGACTGCTGGGGAAATGGTTTCAGCCTGAGGAACACCCAAAGCACAGTCTAGCCACGGGCAGTTCTAGGCTGCAGCCTACTCAAGCCCACAGTGTGACTGGACAGATCTTCACACTGGAAACCTCATGGTGATAGATCATGTCCACAGGGCAGGTGGCAACAAGATACAGCCCAGTCATTGTGATGACCTCACTGTGGAGGGGACAGGCTTTGGAGTGGGTCTGAACTGTGTGTAGGGTCTGCTGGATCTCAGGGAAGCCCATCTTCTGCATTCTGGGCCTTCAACAAATGTCTTGGAGTGCTTCTGTGCAGATGGGGCCCACTGAGAGTTCATAGCCAGACCTGGGGTTTGTCATGGAAGGAACACACTCAGTGCACCAGAGTTGACCCCTGCATGTGCCCATACTGCCTCCCTTTCCAAGTCCTTCCAGACTCCAGCTTTTACCTCTGCTCCAGAGTGTGACCCAGTGTGTGACTTAGCTGTGCTGATCCTGAGGCACCCAGGGGCAATGACTTATTGCCAAGTCCTGTTCTTACCCACAGAGGACAGATTCTCTGAGCTTGGGACACTGATATCCCAAGAGTGGGCAGGGCATCTTGGCAGGGCTCACCCAGGCCTCATCTGTCATGGGGCAGCCCTTTCATAACTTTGGAGGTTTGAGGTACACCCCATAAGCAAGCTCAAAGGGAGCTGACAAGAAATTTTGGTTTAGGAGATTGAACCTAGGGCTTTTGCGCTGAGCTGCGTCCCTGGCCCTTCTTTACTTTAAATTTTGAGACAGGGTCTCACTAAATTGCCACACTGCCCAGGCTGAGCTTGAATTTGTGATCCTCCTGCCTCAGCCTTTTAGTTTGATGGAATTATAGGTGTGCACCACCATGCCTACTAGAATGAAGGTCTTTAAACTATCTTTTGCTTACTTTTCCAATTACTCTTCAGGTAGAAGTGGGCTCATCTGTTTTCCCATGAGGTGAACCTTCCTTGCCTGGTGAGATGGCTTTGCCCCATTTTTGGGTGCTGTATGTTATGACCAAGAGCAGGACAGCCTTGCTAGGCTGATATCCATGGCTACATCTTACAGCAGGAATGTGAATAGGGCCATGAATTTTGCTGCCATGAGTTTAAATTTCAAGGTTTTTCCTCTCCAGTGTGGACAAGCTACTCTTGCCAGCTGCACTATCTTTGCTTCTGTCCCCTCCTCTGTGCCACTTTGTGGCATCCCTGTGGTCTGTCCTGAGTCCACCTGAACCTTGGTGAGGGACCACCTGGATGTTCTCCCACCTCTTCCCCACTGCCTCCAGGTAGGGTGGTACCACTCCTCAGGCTGACTCTTCTTAAAACCTTTGTCAGGACCAGAGCTTCTTATCCAGCTCCAAGACAAGGGAAAGCTCATTTAACCCAAATCTCTTGCCACTGCTAGAGTAGATAGTGGCCTGGGCCAGATGCTGCCAGCCCCTCCCTGGATGCCTAATTACTAGGTGGCTCCCCTCCAACAGCCTGGGAGTCACCTGCTCCTAATGTATGACCAACTGTGAATCTTCAGGACAAGCGAAGTGCCAGTGCCTGTGATGATGCTAGGTAGCCACACTCAGTGAGCGTAGCATGAGTGAAGGGCAGCTGGTGACATCTGCCAGCTCCCAATGTGCAGACTATACCTCCAGCATGACCACACAAATCTGCTTGACGCACTGGATGATGGCATCTGGTGTCCCTGAGATGGTCACCGCCCGCTCTGTGGAGTTGGGTAGCATGTCTCCTGCTACCTGGACCTGGGCACCTGTGGACTGGTGAGAAGAGACATCGGGAAGGGAACGACAGAGAGGGCAGGAGAGTGCATAGGATGAACAGCACCTCCTGAATCTTTGGGAAGGTCCAAATTACAGAGAATCCTCCATAGAAACTGCACCCACCCCCCATATTTTCCTATCACTTTCCCTCCACATTCACTGGATGCTGGCACCCCATCTTCTGCATGTCCCCTTTAGGGTACCATGCTCCACCAAGGGGTATCTGCAGGGAAATGGAATTGTTTATTCCAAATACAAGAATTTTATCTCTTCTGTATAATCCCTGGCTATAGAGAAAAGTAGATTCCATGGGAAAAGGAATGGGAAAGGGTACTGTCTCCTGGGTAAGTGAAGAAAGAACTTCGCCTTCTTTAAGCCAGAAGCCTGTAAGTATCAATCACACCATGGCAGGCTGATTGATATTGTTCCAGGGGCAAGGAAGGCACCAGGTAGGAACAGAAAGCAGGCCTGGGTGTAGCTAAAACCACTGTCTCGTGAGAACCCCCAACAGGGCCATCCCATATAACGATATGGTGCTGGCCTGTGACCATGGTCAGGTCCCCATATTCTACCTTTCACTCACTTACTAGATTATCTGTCCCTGTCTTATATAAGCTCCAGGAGAGCATGGCCAGTGTCAGCACATGCAGACCTTTAAGGGATATGCTATGATGCCCAGGCCACTGCAGCCACTGGGACTGTCCACCCCACCCTGGGCTGGGAGCATCTTGGTACCTCCCTGATCTCTTTGATCTTGGATCCACCTTTGCCGATCAGGGACCCACACTGGCTGGCTGGGACCACCAGCCTCAGTGTCACCGGGGGTTTGCTGGTGGCAGGGCTGTTACTCATGGAGTTAATGATATCCTAGAGAAGAAAAGACACATGTTGGCCACTGGCTGGTGAGTGCGGCTGCAGGGCTTGAGGGCATCTGGAGATGTACATATAGTACCCCACCCCCACCAGCCCTGGTGCACTCTCTGTACTATAGACAGAGCTCTTGGAGCCCTTACACTCATGCAGAATCTCTGCAGAGGTCAGGCTGGTAGTCACAGATCTTCAAGACTAGGGAAGGTTTGAGAGATCATGGAGATGTTGGGAAGATCCTTGCAGGTGTAGGCCAATGCAATTTGAGGTAAGGGCAAGGAGAGACCAACAGGGGGCTGGATCACCAGAAGCAGGGATGAGGATATAGCTCAGACCCCAGTCTGTCTCTGTCTTTGTCTGTCTCTTTTTCCCTTCCTTCCACCCTCTTGCATCTCTGCTATGAGGTGAACGGTATTGCTGCTATCATATTGTACTGCCGTGATCCCCCCAACCAGAGACCTAAAAGTATGGTTCTGCTCGATGGTGGACAGAAATATCCAAAACTAAGAGCCAGAATAAGTTTTTTATCTGTAATTTGATTTCTCTCAAGTAGTTTTACAGCAAGAGAAAGCTGATTAACATAACCAATTCTGAAGCTTCTCCATATCATCAGGTATTGTCACAGCTGCATCCCTACTTCTTGGAATCAATTTTGATGCAGCTGTGACAACACCTGATGATATGGAAAAGCTTCAGAATTGATTTACAGGAAGTTTGGAGAAGTGAGGTAGAGAAAGCTTAGAATGCTGTGAGCAGAGCTTAATGGGCAATCCTGGCCTAAGTACAGAAGACTAGAATGCTTATAGGAATGTGGACAGCAAAGGACAGGCTCAGGAAGCTTCAGATGGAAATAAGTACTCTCCTGGAAATTGGACTAAGAGCCACCTGTAAAACATTGAAAAGAACTTGCCTACATTTTGTCTACGGGGTAAGATTTTGTGGGTGGGTGATTTTAAAGGTAATAGACTAGTTTATCTGGTGAAGGAAATTTCAATGAAGCATTGCACTGAGGCAGCAGCATAGGTATTACTTACCCATAAGCTGGCTGCTTATTTTGCTAAATTTACAGTGAGAATCAAGAGCAAAAATCAGAGCAGAAAGATTTGAAAAACTTCAGTTTGTCCAGAAAAGGAGTATGCTTAAAGTTTTAGTGAAAAGGGGTATAGGTACTGAACAGTTAGCACAATTACACAGAAGTCAAGTACTTTGCCCTCGAAAATAGAAAAGATGTCTAGAGGGAATTTCTTTTTCTTTTTCTTTTTCTTTTTTTTTGCAGAACCAGGGATTGAACTCAGGTCCTTGCGCTTACCAGGGAAGCACTTATTCTACTGAGCCATTTCCCCAGGAGGGAATTTCAGAATTGCCAAGATCATAGCCATCATAAGCTCAAGATGTAGAAATGCTCACTACAGACTCTCCAGGGCATAGCACAGTTTTTTGAGAAAAGTACTACAAAATACCCTGACTAAGACTGCCCAAGCCAGCAAAGCACTCAAGGCAACTACAGCCATGGTTTAAATAAGCCCAGATATACCTCACACTGGGGGCAGATTTTGATACTGTCCATGATGCTAGTATTGTAGGCATACAGAATGCAAGAATTATGGGGTTATGGAGTGTTCCATTAGATTTCAAAGGAAAGCCTTGGAGGCCAGACAGTGTATGACAGTGGCAAGGTCAGAGTTCATGTCATCAGCCTGTGAGAGGGTGATGTGTGAAACTGTGGAAATGAAGCTTCAGCTTCAGTGGAGACTCTAGGAAGGTGAAAATGCCATTAATATGGGTTGTCTGCCACGGAAAGCTACAGGCAGTGAGCAAGGCAACCTGAGAGTGGCCACAGGGGTTGTCATCAGTAAGGCCATGGAATAGGGCTGCCCAAGTCCCTTGGAGGTCATATGATGCTGTGCATATGGGACCTCAATGCTGGACAAGAAGCTACAGGATTTAATGTTTGCCCTACTGAGTTTTGGCCCAATCCTTTATTATTTCCCTATTCCTTCCTTTTAAAATGGGAACATTTACCTCATGCCACTGTCTCTTGGAAGTTTTGTTAACACCTCCAGGAGAGAGGTGGTTCACAGTAGAGTTTACCTTAAGTCTCAGAGAAGATTCTAGACTTGGACTTTTGGGATTCTTAGAGATGGGCTCAATACATTTTAAACTGTGAGATGGACATGAGCCTGTAGGGGTAATGGACAGAATGCTATTGTTTGTATCCAGAATGTCCCCAAAGGGTGTATGTGGTAAAGACTTGATTCCTAGATTGGCTCTACTGGGAAGTACCTACTTTTGGGGCTTTGCAGAGGTTTTTAGTCACTGGGACCCACACCCTCAAAGGAGACTGTAGGATCTCAGTCTCTTACTCTTTTGCATTTTTGTGGCTCAGCCGTGAGAAGGATTTTGCTAGACCATGTGTCCAGCCATGATGTCCTACCCACCAAAAGCCTAAAAGCAATGGTTCACCAACAAAGGATTAGAAACTTCAGAACTGTGGGCCCAAATAACCATTTCCCATTTCTCTTTATAAGTTTATTTGGCTGGCACATCCCTCCTCTTACCTTCAATAAGTCCCTGGTTGTCATCTACTCATAAAGGCCCCTTGATTTTTTTTTTTCTTTTTACTTAATGATAGCTGTCAAGGTGGAACATACTCCTTCTTCCAGGCAGTGTCCACTCCCCTCAATTTCACTAATGCCTGGCTATGCCATTGGTCACCAGAGCTCATGGGTAATAGCCTCTGATAATTCTGGTCTCATCCACAGAGATGCTAGGAAATTGCAGTGGATGGGTTGAACTGAAATGGGCAACTGACCCTCCACAAATCTACCTGTGACCTGTGACTTTGCTAGTTTTTCTTCCTTCTAAGCAAATAACCAACTATTAACACATTTACAAGAGGGCAATAATTTATAAATCTTGCTACCAGGAGGCTCAGATCTGAATTTGATTGTTTCTGCTGGCTTGAGCCATCAATAGTACATCCATGACTGTCCTATCAGGTGGCTTGTAATCCTTCTCTAAGGGCCTCTGATTATAGTAATGTAAAGAAAGGCATTAACATAGCATACCACATATTATCATATTATAGTTTCTTAAGGAAAACATTCAAATATTATAAAAAGTTATATTACAGCTAATTTGTGGTACAGCAGGTATAAAAGCACATTATGTACACTAGCAATAGGATACCTGTAAGATTTCCATGTTAAAATATAAAAAATTAATTATTGATAAACTATTCATGAATATGACTAAACTTTCAATTTAGTGAAATAAATTTTTTGATTATTGTAACAATTTTTAATTGATGTGAATAGCATAGATTAATATTTATATTTGGAAACAGCTATTCAAATTCAAGCAACTAAGTAAATTCAGCCCATTGACTTTTTGGTTTTCTTTTTTTTTTGGTGGAACCAGGGATTGAACTCAGGCCCTTGCATTTGCCAGGGAAGCGCTTATTCCACTGAGCCATCTCCCTGGCCCCCTAGCCCATTGACTTTTTATCAATTTTATTAGTAAAAAGAACAATGAAAGTAATGATTCATTTTATACCACTAGCAGTACAAGTCACCTGATAAGACATGTACCATTGGTGGTTCAAGTCAATGGGAATGTGTTAAAGCCAGGCAGCCAGGTGGCTCTAAATCTAACTTTCGCAACCTGCAAGAAGCAACAGAAGAGATTATGCAGTGAACTGACCAGTGCATGCCTTGGTTCTAACCACTCGCTTGGTTCTAACCAAGACATTGCTGTCTTTGGGGTCAGGAAATGCCTAGTTCTGTGTGTCTTTGACACCTCATGCACCAAAAAAGAGTCTTGAGATTTCTCTGATATTCAGAGACTTCAATCTCAGAAATCCCTGTGGTGAGTGTTATGGTTTGTGTCTAGTTGTCTCCCAAAAGCCTCATATAATCATGGGGCAGACTTCTAGAGTTTGTGATTAACTCATGATCCAATGCTGGAATTATGGGTGTGAGTGCTATACCCACCCTGGGGTGGATAGCTTGAAGGCAATATAAGGAAGGGAGAGGGGCTTGCTCTTAGCAGCTGCTGCCACTCCTTCCTTTGTGCTCTTGCTGTTTTGCTGTTTTCTGCATCATGAACTGCTGCCCTCTGTCGTGCCACTCTACCTTGGAGCTAGGTGAGTATGGACTGAAATCTCCACAAACTGTGAGCTAAATAAACCTTTACTTCCTTAATTTTGAATCTCGGGTATTTTGTCCCAGCAACAAGAGAAAAGTAACCAAGACACTGGGGAATGCTGACTCAGATTCATAACCCAAAACAAGGCCCTTAAAGGATCCCCTAACTCCCTGCTTAGCAAACATCTAGAACAGAGGCCTGGCAGGAAAAAAAACAATGAAAAAAGACAGCTTACATCCATAACTGGCTCTGGCAGAAGTGACCACTGATAGGCCGTGCTCTAGAGGGATGAGTGACAGTTTCCATGTCCTGATACTAGTGGATGGGCAGATGCCAGATCCAGACTTCTTGTTGGCTAGTTGGGGCACTCTCATTGCTATTGCTAATATCACTTGCTAGACAAAGATCAATGGAGTAGGTTATGCAGGCCTGAAAGAAAGTTGTCAGGGTCTCTATGGCTGGGCCTCATGGTCTCTGGGCCTGGTCTCCTGACTTGAGCTGGTACTGAGCTCTTGATTTCAAAGCTTTTGTTTCTGTCACAATGGTCATGGTGCTGCTCTCTATATAATCCTGGATATCCATGTAGGTACTCTCTTGTCACACAATGGCCAAGATGACACTGAAGCAAAAAGGCCAAGATTATTTTGTCATACAGGTGACTATGATGACAGCTTGATTCTTATGCTAGAGATCTGATCCCTGGTCCTTCCTGATAACCTCTAGCAGGTCAAGAGAACAACTATGAGGGGAAGCCAAGGAACTGAATAAGCACACTGGTCATGGCCAGGGCACAGGTGATGAGATGGCACTGGCCCACATTACTACACATGCCAGCACATCAGTGAGAACTTAGCTGGTTCCATGGTCATCCATGATGCTCGCTCCATCTCCACTCAGGGCCAACCAGAGACAGCAGGCATACTCCCCACACATGTACATGGGAGCCCAGAGCCATCACTGGAGCACACTGCGACCTTCCTGCTGTCTACCATATGGAGATCTCTCCCTTGCCTGCTCTGATAGGTGATGGTGCCAACCCTTTTGCCATAGCTCTGTGTCCACACCCTACTTTTGTATTTTGGAGGGGTCACTGCTTATTCTCTCAAATCCTGCTTCACTATTTGATGGTAACTCCTCATTTTCAGCAAAATGTTCTGCCAGCTTGATCACCCTCTGCAAATAAAGATACTAATGAGAAACATGTGAGAATGCTGAGCTCTAGCTCTGAAGAGGTACAGAGAAGTGCTGCATCCCACCATGTGTGTGGTCCAGCAGCATAGTGTGTTCTGTCCAGCAGCATGGTATATCTGTCTGGGTCTAAGTCAGGCTATGGTGTACCCTGGAGGTCAGCTGCTGTATGGTATATGGTTGAAGCCAGAGTCATGCTGGCCAGAGCTTCACTGAGGACCATGGTGGGAGTAGTGGCCACAGCCAGGGTCACCAGCACCCGAGGGCCCTGGTGGGAGGCAGGGGACTCTGAGGCCATGGTCAGGGCTGGGGAGTTGTCTGTGGAATGCCAGTTGTCTGTGGCACTTCTCTAATGTACACCTGCTGGAGGGTCTGCTTTAGGTAGAGAGCAGTTAAAGAGAGACAGGGACAAAGCCAGAGAGGTCACTTCCAAAGACAGAAGAGGAGACAGGAGCTCGAGCACAGTATGCAGCCTAGCAGTGTGTCTGGGATAGGCTAGATCATCTCCTTGTCCAGAGAATAATGTGGAGCTCATAGTCATCATGCCCACTGGTAGGTCTCATGCAGTTACAACTCACCTCTTCAAACTTGTAGGCTATCATGGCAAAGGCCTTGAAGATGGCGTCTGTTGGGCCTGTGATAGTCACAATTCTCTCTGGGCAGTTTCCTTCTGAGATGTTGATCCTGGCGCCACTCTAGGGTAAGAGCAGAGCAAATATGGAAACAGAGAAAATCCATAGGAATAGTATTGTCCTTGATTCTCCAATCTGGTGGACAATACCCATCACAAACAGGCAATGGCCTGCCTGCAGGCCTCACCCAACAATGGAGTTCTTTCAACAATTTTGTTTTCTTCTTTAATTATGCACTGAGGATTAAATCTATATCCCAAGTTTGTTTGTTTGTTTATAGATACTGTCTCACTATTACTAAGTTGTTGGGCAGAACTTAAATTTGTGATCCTTCTGCCTCAGTCTCCCAGACTGCTAAGGTTATAGGCATATGCCACTATACTTAGTTGTCAAGCTCATTCATATTGAAATTTTAATTAGTAATGAAAGAGCACAAATGGTGCCTAAGGGGGGGCACTGTACCTGGTACCTGATCCTCTGCATGCATGGTGTCAGAGGGAAGTCTATCTCCTTTCCCTGGCAAGGCCCTGCCACTCTTGCTCATGGGGCAGGCCACAACTTGGGAGACAGATGTCACTAGGGTAAGCACACTCACCTCTTCACGCATCTTCTTCACAGTCTCCCCTTTCTAGAAGGGAGACAAGGAAAGGTGTCAATGGCAGCTCTGTGGATGCCACATAGTCCTCATGTGGTCCACATGCCAGGAGTTGTATCTGTTGTACACCAAGAACAATGGCCAAGGTGGCAAGAGGCTGGGTGGGGGGAGCTGTCTTCTTCCTGTTGGCCTGGGTAGTGGCTTCTCCACTCATAGGCAGACCCTTCACACACAACGTCAAGGCCCTTTTAGTAGTGAGGGTGGCATGGGAAGTGAGCACATTACCCAGTGGCACCGCTGCCAGGCAGCAGGCTCTAACCTGAGTGTCCATTGCTATAGCTCTATTTATATAGCACTGTGATGGTCTGTGGGCTCTGGGGTACCTGACAGGAGCTGCATAGGCCCAGTTGCCCCCATCCTACACAGATAGTGGCTTCCTAAAGTGCTTTCTTGAGTGAGGAAGAAGGGAAATGAGGAGACACTGGTGACTCCCCACAGGAAGAGGAAGTGGATCTGACCTAGGCCAGTTGGTGTGGGTCCCTGAGCTGGGAAAAGCCCCCACAGAGGTGCAGGGTCTGTCCCCTGCCCCACCCCCTTCACACACAGCAGGCTTCCCCATGGGCCTCTGTCCTTGTGGAGCAGAGTGCTTGGATTATGGAATCCAAGAATGCGAGTCCCATGCCAGAAGATGGTGGAGGTCAGTAGGGCAGCGATGGTGGGAGCTATGAAAGTGACCAACAGGGCCTTGCTGAGCCAAGGGACAAGGGCCCAAGGCCAGTTTCAGGGTACTGCAGCCTAAAGCAGTGGAGTCCTTTAAGAGGACCCCACACAGTACTCTGGATCATGACTTTCTCCTACTTTCTCCTAGGGGGGGTGCCTATGGCCACACAGCACCAGCGGCTACTGGTATCTTTGCTGTACTCTTAAGACTCCAAGAGATGTAGAGTTCATTCAATAATTACCTTCCCAATGATGCTGCCGACTTCCTGTGGGAGGGGAAAAACACAGAAAGATGATGTCATAGAGCAGCAGAGGTCTCTGGGATATATGCAGCAAACCTTGCCTATCTTCCTGATGTAACAGGGTAGAATTTACTTCTTGATTTATTTTTTGTGGCCTGGGGATCAGTCTGGAGTGTGGGATACATGAGGCAAGTGTTCTGCTGCTGAGCCACCCAGCCCTCAAAATTTGGGTCCAGAAAGAGGATCTGACTGAGGTTGGTCTAGGAAGAGGGCAGGACAGCTGCTCCCCAGATCAGTGACCAGGAGAGCATCCATATGCTCAGGGCTCAGGAAGACTCACGGGGACAAGGTGGAAAGTGAAATTGGCTAGGTATCTCAGGGGAGCTGTACTGGGGTTGCTGTGTCCTATTCTAAAGGCACTGGCCCAGCTCACAGCTGCAGTGGTACCCTGACCCTTGGGGGTGCCTGTTCCCACTGAGCCAGATGTCGCAGCATCTCTGCTTATAGGAAGTTCTAGACCTGTGCCACTGTGGCATAGCGCTCGAGGCAGGGCTACTCCAACTTCAGCCATAGAGAACAACATCCTTCTAATCCTTGTAAGAGCCCTGTGCTCAGCCATTCCTGAGCATCAAGGCTGACCCTGACCCTGACCCAACCTATCACAGGTTGGCTGCACTTCCAGGAATGCATAATGGTGCTGAAGCTGCTAGAGAGTGTGGGAACTGACGCTATCTCTAGAAGGTCCCACATGGTGCTGCCATCTGCAGGACAGACTGATCCATGTCTCCACCTCTCGGACATTCTGGGCATGTGCTCTATGAATCCCAGTGGGTGCAAAGAATGCTCCTAGTGATAATTCTGCCTACTGAAAGGAGTCAGAATTCCTAAAGTAGGGCTAATTCCAGGATGAGGACAGAAAAAGACAAGATGAGTCATGAGAGGGAGATAGTGCTGTAGGAATGGTGGGGACATCAGGTTCAGGAGGTGCCAGGTCTGGGACAGTATGAATGTGAAAGTGTAGGAGAACAATGCCAACCCATGCCCACACAGACATGGATGCAAGAACAGATGTATTAGGTTCAAGGACAATGGATGGGGAGTGGAAGGCACCCTCCACCCAGTGGCCAACATAAATGCCACAAAAGTGTCATCTAGGCCACTAACAGGAAGGCTTCTGTGACATCCTTGGCAATGGCAAGAGGAGATTCAACAAGCCAAGTGAGGGCACACCAAAAAAGCAAGGCAGAAGCCTTCACCAGTGAGTTGAAGACAAGGGCATGTTTGGGAAAGAAGGAGCCTATCTGTTGGGAACTTGACCATGGAACAGCACAGGGGCTGCCAAGCAGTAGGCCTACAGCAGGTACTGGGGGTACTCCTTGACCTGGAGGAAGAGCATCCTGCCTGTGGAAAGTTGCACTGGAGTGATCAGGGACAGGGCTCGGGTCAGTCATTGCATGTGGAATGGTTCCAGAGGTGAGATTGTGGCTACTTTTCACTTTAAGGATTCAGAGTGAGAAACACCAACAAAAACCTCAGTGTCATGCCCCTCCCTCCCTGGGCCACACTGTACCTTTCCATGCATTAGTAGGCGGATGGTCAGGGTCACATTCAGGCCACCTTCTGAGACCTTGGACTCCATCTTTCTCCCAAAATGTGGCTGGGGGTGGAGGCTTAAGGTGCTGAGGGTGCTGTGAGGAAGGATGGATGGGGCCCAGATAGTGTCACCTAGAAAAAGAAGGTGGGCTGCAGACCACTGGCCACCAGCTGAGCTCCTGGCCTGTAGAAACTCTGGTGTTCTGTGCAAGAGTGGATGCGCTGTCATCACTGCCATGTGCTGATGAGGCCTCACCTTCCTTAGGCCATGAGTGCCCAGTGGCTTGTGTCAGGCTTTCCCTGATTTATGGCACCACTGGGTAGGTCACTCAAGCCCTCTGATCCCAGACCCCTCCTCTGTGAGAAGAGTCACAGGAGCACCTTTCCCAGAAGGCAAAGAGCATAGGAGCCCCAGAGTAGTCCCAGGAAAGCCCATGCTGCTGCTTGGGCCTGGCCAGCCCACTCTCCTTGTAGTCTTAATTCTGTTCATTTTTCCAGTCATACCAGGAGCAGCCCTGGCATGCCAGGATCCTTCCTCAGAGGTTACTTGCTTTACCCTCAAGCATACAGGAAGGTACTGTGTTGGTCCCTCTGTACATAGGGACACAGTCCTTGGTAGTCTTGTTGTCTAACATGGACTCAATCTCCAGCCACAAAGTTGCCAAATCAAACTGTTAAGATCCCTCATCCAGAGTGCTCAGAGACCCCGCACCCCAGCATAGACCTGTGCTGCTTCTAGCTTCCTGAAGGCAGACTTCTGGGGGATGCCCCTGGCTACATTAAGACTTTGTTCCATTATTTGCAGAGATGTGTCAAAGGTGGTACAATGGAAGTACTAATGGGAAATAACAGGACAACTTTGTGTCCTTGTGGGCCAGTGGGTACAGGTCCCTGCTGGTGAGCATTATGTACTTCTAGAGTCACTACCACTGAGTTCAGCATGAGGTCCTGAGCCAGACTCTTGTGAGGAATCCCCAACTGTTAGGACAGGCCACCCTCACCATGGTAGTTCAGCATATGTGAGTAGCTATGCCTGCAGATGTGCCCCTGAGAGGATAAGAGGGAGGCAGTGAGGAAGGGGTGGGTAGGGAGAACAGAGAGTTGGGTCCATAAGGATTCCAGAGGTGAGGGGATGAGAGACACCCGTGCCCAGGAGAAGACAGCACTCAGTCATGGGGCAATGTGGGGGTCCCCAGGGACAAAGAGGAGACAGAGCAGGCCCCAGGCCAAGACATGGGTATGGGTGGTCTCTGCAGGACCTAAAGAATAGCCCCTCAGGTGACACAGGTGGCAACAGGTTCCAGTGGCAAAGAGCCACACGGCAGACAGAGGCTGGCTTCAGATAGAAAGTGTGTGGGTAATTTCCAAGTAAGGCTCAGGATGAATGCCCAAGGACCCATGGAGCAGGAAGATGACTGCCTCTAGAGGCCTTGCATACCTGCCAAGATATGTACCTGAGAGGTGGCCAGAAAGGTGAGGCTATGCTTCTTGGCAATGAACCAGAACCATGCTCAGGAAGGTCCTTACCGCAGTCCCCACTCATAATAACTTCACCTAGTGACAACACTGTCCCAGAGGAGTAGCTTCTCTAGGAGACCCTTGAGGAACAGACCCGAGGAAATGTGTGTGCTTAGCCCCATGCAGCAAGCTACCTGGGCACTGACTTAACCAGGAGGACAGCCTATGGTTAAAAGTTGGAACAAAAATTGTTTTCCTCATCAAAATATTTCTGTTGAAAATGTGATAAAAGGAGCACACGAACATAAAGCAGAGAAATAACTTGTTCGGTCACCTGTGCAGTGTGTCAGGATGTCTGCAAGAGCAAGCATCAGTAACCCCCAGAGTACAAAGTGACAGTGCCAAATACAGTCCTACGTTCATGAAATAATGGGCTCCGGGGCTTGGGATATAGCTCAGTGGCATAAGCGCCTGCCTGGCAAGCACAAGGGCCCCAGTACAAAAAAACAAAAGGAAATGAAATAACAGGTCACTATACTTGTGCTTTAAAAATGAATTTACAGTCAACTTCCTCAGAAACCCAAATTAGTATTCACTATTTTTCATAATAAAATGATCCTTTTGAACAATAAGGCTTTTTAACATAGGGTGTTAACATATCTTTGAGAAGTGTTTTACATAGCAAAGAGTGCACATTTATGTCTCTATCAGAGTGCACATGTGCTATCTGTATTTCAGACCAAACTTACTGGGTACCTCTGAGAGCAGCTGTTGGCTGCTCTACAGAAAAGCACAGAGAGGAGGTTCTGTGGCTAGTGTACTTGCATGCTCCTTGAAGAACACTGGGCCTAAGCAGGGTACTTTTGAAGATGCACTGCACAACAGGAGGAGCACCCAGCTCCAGTGGCTTCCCTGGTACTATATAGCATGTCTACAAAGACATCTGTGACAAGGCCAGCAAAGCCTTTCTTACAAACTTGTGTTAAATGAGGCTGATTTCTTAGCACCAAAGAGCTAGATTATGCTGTGGTCTGTCTAGGGATCTGCCTCCTTTTTAATTAAAGACATCTCCCACCAGGGGGACAGCACAGCCCTGCAGCCGTCTGTTACATAAATGTTCCAGTGCAAGGAGGAAAAGTGGGTCAGTGCCTGCCCCGGGTGCGTCCGTCTCCCAGCTGTCAGCAGCAATCTGTCACACAGGCCACTGAGGGTAGAAGGAGCTGTTGAGGGGCTGTAAGGACCATTTGGGAGGTGGGGTAGTCACTGGGATCAGGACTCAGCCCTAAGGACTCACTGTGCTCTAGCTGCAGCACCTAGATCACAGCCCTCTTGACAGGTGTGAGGTAGAGAAACCCTGCACCCATTTTCTGCTGTCCCTTGGCATCTGTATGCTCATGGTGACTTGAGAATGCCCTAAGCAGTGTTCCCTCCTGCACACACTGGCTGTGCACCTGTGCTCCAGGGCTGCCAGGAAATTTAGGCCAAGGTAGTTATTGGAAGGAACCTAGCAGGAAGCAAGTTCTGTTGCTGTGCTTGGTCATATGCAGCCAGTGGGTCTGGCAGCATCTTGTGGGACTCCTTCTCCTCTCTGGAAGCCCTCCCTGTTCTCTTCAGGGCTGGGACTTAACATATTTTTGAGAAATCTAATGGAAGGCTGAGAAGAAACAGGCAAGGCCACCCCTGGCCTCTGTCCACACTTGGCCAGCAAGCCTATCCAAGCCTGGCTTGAAGCACGGCTGGCTTCAGTGTCCATTTGGGAACACTGTGCACACATGTACTTCAGCCCAACACATGCCTTGCACCTCGACTCCCAGGAGGCTGCTCCAGGAGGCTGCTCTAACTGCATAGATTTTTAGGCCACATTTTATCTTCTCAGTGCAAGGACAGAGCTCCTGATCCTCCCATCTGCCAGGGCACTGACCCATCTGTCTCACACCCTCTACCCAGTGTTTAGGCCAAAGCCTATCCTCTCCCCTCCTCTCCCAGTCATTGACACAGGACATGGAATCCAAGCCCCTGCCCCTCTTGAAGCAGTACCGCAGTACCAACACACCTTTCCTTATGCACCCAGGCCCTACTGGATGCCCTTCTCTCAGTGCAACTTGACTCACTGCTCCTCCCTGGCCCTCCCTACTTCCCCAAAGACCCCACTGCCAGGGCTCTACACTCGCCATCCCCTTGTTCCAGAGCCAAAGACTTCCTTTCATGGTTCAGCATGGGTCTCTCTGCACTGTCCTCAGAATTGGTCTTTGCACGCACATATACAAACATATACATGTTAAATATCACAATAGGTTAGAGACAGCCCTGGCACTACTGTAGAGACAACCACTAACAAAGGAAGAGAAAAAGGTGAGCAGAGTGACATGGTACCAGGATGCAAAAAGAAGAGGAGAAGGAAAGGGCTAGTGAGGGTAGGCCTGGGGCACAGATGAACAACAGTCAGTCTTGGAAGGTCTGGGGACAGTATCAGTGCCAGTCCTGAGGCACTGACCCTTCAAGGAATGACATGGTGGTTTGAGCTGGTGCAAGTCAACCACTAGTTGGAGCAGCCCTTGCAGGGCTCACCTCAGCTGCAGATATCCCCATCTGGTCTTGGGGCTTGTGGGTTGTAGGTAGCTTGTGCTGCTGCCCCCACGACCCAACCCCAAGGCATGCTGCATATAAGCTCTGCCTCAGGGGCTATGTCTAGGCAGCAGTGTGTCTGCAGAAGAGTGATCTGGTAAGACGGACTTTAGTTTGAGGTATCTTTGACCTTAAAGTGAGGAGTTACACTTGACTAATCTCACCAGAAAACACAGTGGCACACAGATCAGACAATGGAGACATAGGACAGGGGTTATGCTATTTGGTGGAGGTCTCACAGCACCCCATGCTGTGGTGAGTGCACCACTGTTTCCCTACTTTGAAGGGTGGGCACAAGGTGAGGCTCAGGGACTTGCTGAAGTGCTTAGCTGACTATGCTAAGCAGGGATAAGGATGCAGACATCTTTGACCATTCCTGTGGCCTGTAGTCATAGCTCAGCAGGAGTAGCAAGACAACTTTAGGGAAAGGCTGAGAAGAAACAAGCATGGTAATCCCTGGACTCTGTCTATACTTGGCCAGTGAGCCTATCCTCAAGCCCCACTTAAAACAAGACTGGCTTCAGTACTACACTGTGGGAACACCATTCACACATGTAGCTTCCCCCAGTTCCCTGCAACAGCCAACAGATGGGTATCACACTCACTGCAGACTCAAGAAGATGCACTGTTAGGAAGGCAGGTCACCAGGAGCAGGGTCACCAGGGAGACTGTTCTGGGCCTTTCTGCATGGGTTTCCTTTCTGCTGTGTCTCATACTCAGAGGTGGAGAAGGCTATAGGCTGGAGACACCAACAGACAGGGACAAACAAGAGCACTCACAAAGGAGGGGGAAGCCAGCACAGGGAATGCTTGTGGCATTGTCTCTACTCTGGCCACTTTCCTCCTAGACATCTGAGGCTGGACTAGGAGTCTCCCACCTCACCCACCTCTACAGCGTCACCTAGTCCTAGCTCAGTGTATTATCAGGGGTCTTGTGAGATCTGTGAAGAAGAGTGCTACCCCTCAGAGCCAGGAGTTGTCAGCAGGGGCAGGTGGGAGCCAGAACACTGACCCTGGCCCACCTTGGTGTCAGCAGACGACAAGTGAGAA